GGTTGAGCTATAGGCGCCGAGCCTAATTTTATTATCTTATTGAAACAAAGTCTTGTTCTGTCACCCGGGTTAGAGTGTAGTGGCATCATTATAGCTCACTGCAACCTTGAACTCCTGGACTCAAGTGATCCTCCTGCCTCAGCCTCCCAAGTAGCTGGGACTATAACTGCATGCCATTGTGCCTGGGTAATTTTTCTGTTTTTTTGCACAGAAAAGGGTCTTGCTATGATGCCCAGGCTAGCCTCAAACTCCTGGCCTCTAACAATCCTGCTGCTTTGGTTTCCCAAAGTTCTGGGATTATAGGCATGAGCTATGATGCCTGGTCCTGGCTGATTTTTGCTTTTTGAGGGGTGTTGTTATTGATGTTGTTGTTGTTGTTTTATTTTCGAGTCAATACAAAACCTGGCTGGTACCATCCATCCCTCCCACCTCTACTCTGGCCCAGTCCAAAGGTGTCCCCATGGTCTGGTCATGCTGGGTACCGTCTCTGAAGGCTGCTGGAGGAAGGGCAGCTTCTCTTCCAGCTTGTCCAGGCCTCTGCAGGCAAGGTTATTCACTGTGGCCACTGAGGGGAAAGAGGCAGAGATTTAGGAGAGATAGGGACACAGCAAGGGATATAGAGGGATGAAGTGCTAGAAGGAGAGATGAAACAGAAAGAAAGAGAGGAGGCCCACCCTCAGGGGCTAGACAGTCACCCACAGACATAGGAAGGCCTCCTGAGACTTTATGCCTGAAAATCTAGGGAAGCCACGAGGAGGCTGGGATGGATGGATGCCCAGGTAGGGAAATAGGAGGAGGTCCCCCCACAGGGTGCTGGGGACCTTTCAGCATTTTGCTGGGTCCCTGGGAGGGCATGCTGTCCTGACAGTTTGGTGACTCCTCAGATGCTTTCATAGGCCGACTCAAGGTCACAGAAGCTGGCTGAGAGGGAGGTCAGGGAAGTGCTGGGCTAGAACCCTGAGCTGACCCTCTTCCTCTGTCAGATGAGAGCCCAAAGAGCCTTCTTGCCCTTGCCTGTCACCCCTGCCAGGTTGGACTCCTGAGCTAGTCAGAGGGGTCTGTAGAGATGTCAAAACTGCAGAGATGAGGCTGCAGGGATCAGGACAGGTGGAGGCAGGGGCAAAAGGGAGGGAGGCTGGACAGACAAATGGACTCAGGTATGTTAGGCCAACAAACAAGGGAGGAGGATAGATAAGGGCAGAAGGCCAGGCAATCAGATTTAAGGGGGACCTTTAAGGGGGTCAAAGAGATTGAGAAGAGGTGAGATGGGGGCAAGATTGGCAGATGGACATGTGGACAGACTGAGGAGGGACACCCAATTCAGGAGGATGACCCCACCAAGCATGTTATGCAGGTGGACCAAGGGTGGGGTGGGACGTGGGGCAAACCACAGACCAGGGGCACTTACACTGGGGCTGCAGGTGGTCAATCAGTGGCTGGGCATGGTCGAGGGCCTGGGTGGTCAGGGCACACACACAGTGCTCAGCCAGGCGGCAAGCAGAGCCCAGCAGCCGGTGCCTGTCCTTAGCTGTACTGTAAGCATCGAAGACTGCAGTACATGTGTCCCTAACCAGAGGCAGAGCCATCACACGCTGCATCACATTCTGTTGGAAAAGGTGACATTAGAGGGGCCCCCAGGGGAAAGTAGAGATCTCAGACTCATATGAGCCCACTTTCCCTCTCTGAGCTAAGACTGAGGCATGGGAGAGAGAGTTGAGGAAAAGCGTAGTGAGCAGGCACTACAGTTGCACAGGCAGTGCAGCTGCACATGGATGTGAGATTGTTGCGGTCCCTGATCTGCGCTCACTGGCTCCCATTCTCAATGGCGCACACAGAGCAATGTATGTTTTGAAATACATTTGCCCTCAGTACTTGTGGGGGATTGGGTGGCAGGCCCAGTCTCCCTTCAGTATTCCAACTCTACACATATTCAATGCTCACAACCAGCCTTGCAAACCTGTGGATATGAAAAGTTGGCCTTTAGTATATGTGGTTTTGCATCCCATGAATACTGTATTTTTCAATGCATGTTTGGCCAAAAGAATTCTGTGTACAGGTGGACCTGTACCCTTTAAACTCTTGTTATTCAAAGATCAACTGCAATTTGTTTGAGGGAGGAGGCATGAGAGTTTAGCAGTTACAGGCAAAGCCAGTAGGGCAAGACAAACCTGTTTTCAGTCCTGGGTTAGCCACTGCCCAGCTCTGTGAACTTGGGCAAGTGATTTAACGGCTCTGTGCCTTGGTTTCTCTATCTATAAAATGGGTTTCTGGGATTGCAATGAAGTATTCCAGGAGTCAATATAAGTGAACCACTTGGAGGTCTGACTGATACAAAGTACATGCTATGATTGCTGTTGTTAATACTATTGTGCCATTGTTGTTGTACAGAATGTAAGCTGTGATCACTGTCATTACTCTTACTGTTGCCATTGTTGTTGCAGAGTATATGCTGTGATTGCTGTTGTTACTATTATTGTGCCATTGTTTTTGGTAAGGATGTTGTAAGAGCTGGCACAGAGATAGAGAGGCACAGGTGCAGACCCAGGGGTAGCAGAGGAAAAAGGTTGGGCAGGGGCCAGATGAGTTGGCTGGGTGTCCTTGGACAGATACTCCTCCATCAGGACCTCAATACATCCCCTAAGCAATGAGCAGGATATACCAGACACCTCCATGCTCCAAAATGTTTTCAGAATCACATCCACTGAGTGAAGACAGGAGTGAGAGGGGAAACCTGCCTGAAACTGCCCTAGGAAGACTATTCCCATACCTTTCCTCTCACTTGCTGGTCATGCTCCCATGAACTGGGACTGGGAGCCTCAGCAGCCTCATCTTCAGACATGTCTGCTGCAGAGTCACCTGGGGGATAGGACAGAGTGAGCAGGGGTGTCTGCACACCAATCTTTTGGGCTCATGCCGAAGCCCTGCCTGGCTGGACTCTGACTGGAGCAAGTGTCATTTCTTCTTGGGGCCTCAGTTTCTTCATCTGTGAAATGGGGTGATGTATGGGACATGGACGTTGCATGCAACAGGGCTTTGCACACAGTAGGGGCACAATAAAGAGTCCATGGCAAGGTGGACTCACTGTAGTGACTCTTTGAGCATGGGTTTTGGGGTAAGAAAAACCTGGGTCTAAATCCTATCTTTACCTGCTGTGTGACTTTGCACAAGTACCTTCACCTCTCTGGGCTATTTCTTTTTGTGGAATGGGGGAGGTCCCTGCTGCCCTTGCCTGGGACCAGAACTGCACAAGCAGCCCTCATGCGGGGGTTGAAATGGTAGCTGTAGAATCCTGATTAACTCCACAGTTCGTCTGACAGATGGGGAAACTGAGGCACACAGCAGGTATATGCTGGGCCCAAGGTCACTCCACTTCTAGGGTTAGAGCCTGGAGCTCCACCTTAGGCCTCAGACTCACCGCCCGTGTTTCTTCCCCCTATTACCACCCTACGACCGCTGAGCCCTGGTCCTCGTCCAATTGGGTCCTGAACTTCAGCCAAGTGGGGCAAGGGTCTCACCACCTGCTCTGGCCCGTCGTACCCTTCCCACGCCGCCAGACCTCCGTGCAACCATCTGATCCGGGGGTCCTCTCACCCCAAGCCCAGGGGCGCTCCTGGACGCCGCCCCCACTGCACTCACCTGGATGCGCGCAGCCCCTGAAGGAACCTCCACTGACCCCAGACCCGGACTCAAGTCTCCGCCCACCGCTGGCCCGCCCACTTTATACCTGCTCAGGGGCGGAGCCTCGGGAACCGACCAATGGGGAGACACTGTCGGGGGGGCGTTTCAAGAGGCGTGGTTAAAAGCAACCTCCGCCCTCTCTTTTTGCCCGCCCACTCTGCGGTTGCCATAACAATCCGGGGACGCTGGTTGGGAAGTATTAAGCTGCTTTAGTTGGCCGGTTTGGGCCACCTGTCCCTCTCACTGCTGTTGCTGTGGAGACTTCGGAGGGTGATCACAGTCCCCACTGCCTTGCCGAGTAACCTTGGCAAAGTCCTCATTGACTTTCTCTCTTTTTATTTTTCTTTCTTTGCTTCTTAAGTCAGAAGCCAGGCCAGCCCTTTTGCTCGGATCTCCATTTTACAGACAGGCAAACTGAGGCTCAGAAAGCTTAAGCCACTTGCCCTGGGAACCATAGCGATTGAGGAATTGTATCCAAACCCAGTTCTGCTAGACTCCAGACCCCTGCCTTTCCTCACCTTGCCTGGAAAGACTCCCAGAATGTGGCATGACCCTCCTTCCAGGGGGCTGAAAAAATTGGCCTTGTGCCCCAACATTCCAGGATCCCCAAATCCAACTCTGGTCCCCACATGCCCAACATGAGCAGGTGGTTCTGGTATCTGAGTTGTGAGCACACAGCCCCTTGGGCCCCTGCCTATCCCTTCAGCCCCATCTAGCCCCCTCCAGTTTGCCATGGAGAGGTGCCCCCATAGATTATCAGAGGCCATCATGACAAATTGTTTGGAGACTTGGGTAACCTGGTTTAATTTAAACCTCCCCTGGGACACAAGCTCTGGCAGCAATCCACTGGTAAAACAACACCCGGGCAATGGTCAGAGTTTTATTTCCAGTTAATTCCTGGGATGGGGGAAGGGAGAAGAGAAGCCACAGGCCATTGATTCCAATTGCTATACACTGGGAAGCCCACATCCCGCACCCCAGGGCCTGGGTCATGCCTCTTCTCACCTCCTCCTTCCTCTTGGGAGTCCTAAGAAGTGGACTTGGGAGGGAAATGCTAGAAGCACAGGGAGTATCAATTCAGCCAATTTAGTTTGCAACAGTTATTTATTAAACCCCTCAGTTCTGCCCGCAAGCTACATGGGAATCAATCTCAGACCCTGCACTCAGAGAGCCCCCTAAACTGGGAAGACAAAGCCACATTAAAAAAACCCCAGTGTGTCCAGGGCTTGTCCAGAGGGAGGGATGGGGACTGGGGGAACCCAGATACCAAGAGATCTGGGACATAGGAAAAGGCATGAGGGAAAAGGGTACAACTTGGGCAAAGGCAGGAAGGTATGGAGAATCTATGGGGTGTACCAGGATGCATGGTCACAGGGCCCTGAAGCCATGGAAAGCCTTGACTCTCACCAGGAGCAGATGGAATTATTTGCTATTATTTGCTAAGTGGGGTGCCATGTTCTGTCAGGTCCCCACCCCTCCCCAAGCCCCAGGCTTCACTGGGACTCAGCCACTGCCAGGAGTGTCTGTCCCTTCATGTCTTTGGGTCCAGCGCAGCGTGTGTCATTCTGGGAAAACATCTTGTCCTTTTTGGCCTTAAGCCAGCAATAGAGGTCATTCAGGTTCTGGTCACAGATCCAGGGGTTATTGGAGATGTCGAAGCCATCCTGCATGTCCCTGCCAGGCTGCGCTAGGGGTGCCCAGAGCCCCTTGGGCACACTGGCCAGAGAGTTATTGGATAGGTCCAACATGTCCAGCTGCCGTAGGCCTTGGAAGGTGCCAGCTTCCACCTTGGCCAGCTTGTTGTTGTTCAGGAAAAGGTAACGCAGGTCTGGCTGTGGCTCGAGCAGTTCCTTCCCAAGCACCTTCAGTCTGTTGCCCTCTAAATGCAGTCGTTCCAAACGCAGAGGGCCCCTCAGAAGGTCAGGTTGCAAGATCTCTAGCTGGTTGTCACCAAGGTCAAGAGTGTGCAGGAGGGTGAAGTTGGCCAGCAGTCCAGCAGGCAGTTTCCGAAGGCGGTTACCGGATAAGTCCAGATGCCCCAGTGTTTTCAAGCCATGCAGCCAGGAGGCCTCAATGTCTTCCAGCTGATTTTCCTTCAACACCAGGGTGTCCAGGGCGGCTGAGGCCTGGAAAAGGCCTGGAGGCAGTCTTGTCAGGGCATTACGGGTTAGATCAAGCACCCTTAACAGTGGTACAGGAAGAAGAAACTCGGCCGAGAGGCTTTCCAGGCGGTTGCTAGAAAGGTGCAATTCTTGGAGTTTAGAGGCGCCCTGGAGGAGGTTGGCTGGCAGCTGGGTCAGGTTGAAGAACTCCACGACCAGGTGGACAGTGTCAGCTGGGAGATAGCTGGGGAGCTCAGCAGGCGAGTGACAGGAGATGGAACTGCCTCTTTCGGACTGGAACACCAGGCAATCTTTGGGGTTTTGGGTGACACCCTGGCCTGAGGCCACAGATAGCAGCAGCAGAAACAGCATTCTGGAAAGATGGGGGTCAAAGAACCCTGGACTGCAGCAACAACAGAAGGTGCTTAATAAGCCAAAGTGAAAATTTACCTATGTAGGTGAAAATACACCCAGAATCTGCATACCTCTTCCCAACCCCACTCCCACCACCCTGGACTGTGCCACCTTGTTACTCACCTGAACTAGTGTAGCCACTTCCACTTTCTCTCCTGGCTTCTACCCTTGCCCCCACAGCTGCCAGATGTGAGAATTCTGATTCCATTAAATTGAGTTCCTGATCTACATACTACTCTTCCCCCAACACTCGCCCAGCCTTAATAGCCTATTAACTATTCACTGTCCAACTTGCTAGTTTCTTTGATCTGTTTTGTTTGGGGGGAAGTTCTTGTCTTCCTGGCTCTGTGTTTTGAAGGTACAGCTGGTGAACTCTTACTCATCCTAATAAGTCCAAGCTCTAATGCCCCATTTCCATGAAGCCTTCTCTGCCCTTCCCAAGAAGTGCTCTTAGTTTTCAGAGAGAAGTCTCAGGCTCCTTGTCTTTCTGCTCAGCCCTGACCAAACAAGGTTAGGTTATCTGTGTCCAACACCATCTTCCTCTAAGCACTCAAGTGCAATACAAGACACTAGGAGCCAACAGGAGACTCTGAACATGAAAAGTGTGTCATGCTGTTGGACAGGTGTGGGGCATTTGGCCTTGGGAAGGGGTGGCTTATAATTGCCACAACAACCTTTGGAAGCCTGCAGCTTCTCCTTCTCCATGGCTTCCCTGGCCCAGCAACATCAGATATCACCTAGACAGTCTTGGTCTAGGGGCCCTCTTCCCACTCCTTTCCTGGCCCATGGCCGTCCTGGGCTTCTGTAGGTGTCTTTCTGTATGTGGGATTGAATTTTTCTATTCAGGGTTAGTATTGATCTGTTCCAGCCTGCAGGCCTATATCTCCTCCCTACAACTAGAGTGAGTCAGGTGGAGTGTCTACTTATCTCTGCGTGGCCTGGTATTAGAGTGGGGACCTACCTTTGGTGTCGTTGTCTGCTCCAAGAAGACATGGCGGCCCACCTTGTTTCCTTCTAGGTTCTCTTGGCCTAGGGAGGTGGACTTATAACTGCCTGGCCTGGGATCAGGGGAACTGACATTAGGCAATTCCCCACGCCTATCCAGTTCCTGACTGGGGCTAAACCAGAGCTAGGCAGGGGAAGAGGAGGAGCAAGAATTGCAAAATGCTATTACTGGTACCTGAAGGCCAGGTCACAGTGGGAGTCAGGCTGGCCTTACAAACTGCTGGCCCCACAGCCATCACATACCACCAAGGCAGGCACAGGGGTGGTTACAC